CATCTGCCCTTAATTCAGAGTCACCCATCTGCACACTTGCCACCTTTCCCAGTTGTTTTATCCAGCTGCGTTTCTTCTCACCATCTTGTTTCTTACCATTATAATAATTTCACAAATTTTATTTCTTTTTCTTACTTTTTTTGCTTTTTACTTTTCCTCACTTTTTACTTTTTATTTTTCGTACTTTTTACTTTTCTTACATTTTCCAATTCTCATTTCTTTACATACTTTTTTGATGCTTTTGTTTATTTCATTCCTTATTATAACTTTCTATTGCTAGCAGCTTTGAAGTTTGTCGTGTTTCCTGAAGGAATTAGCAGCTCAGCGGTCCTCCTGACAGAAGTACTTTGGGCATCAGCTGTTTTGAGATGTACTGCTATTTTTTGAGTTTCATCGTTTCGCCTCAAACGTTGCCACTCCTCAAACGTTGATAAGGTACGCTTGAGAGCCAGGGCTGATATAAGCGTAACTGATCCAATAAAGGACCCCTTCCCCCTATCATGAATTCATCATCTCTGGTGCCATTCCAGGAATAAAATAATTGGCCAACATATGGGTTGCCCGTGCGAAGATGCGTTTTTTGCATAGTTCCCCGCAGATTTTTGTCGCCAACGGCACTGTTTCTCCGGCAGATGCTTCTGGCGAAAAGAACTTAAAACTGACCGTTAGAACTGTCAGGAAAAATTTCTTTAAAATTACAGTCTTTTAGCTTTTCAAATTCTCGAGTTAGCGACTTACCCGAAAAAAACCTTGGCGATCCCGTACGCGCGTACCACGCTCACCCGGGGGCTGGGCTTGAGCCCACTAATACCAGGTTGGGCGGGGAACATTACCTCAAGATTTCAGCGTTTAGCTTCTCAGATCCCCGAGTTATGAACTTACCCAAAAAAACTTTGGCAGGCCCATGCGCGGGTACCACGCGGGTTTTGGCGCCCATTTTGGGGACTGGGGACGGCACGTGCATGTAGATTAAGTTCCCGAAATTTCAGCCCCGCAGCTTTTATAGGCCCTGAGATGAAAGTGCATGACAGACGCACACACAGACACACGGACACACAGACAACCTCTCGTCATTATGCGTTTTTCGCATTGCATTACTGCAAAAAACGCCTAAAAACAGCAAAGCAGACGGCGTAAAAGTTATTACGTTGCAGAAATTGTGAAGATTGTAAGACGTAACATTATTCCGTGAGTTTTAGGTTGGCGCATGGCTTTATTTGGGTAAAAGCAGTCTCCAGACAACTCATATTTGTCAGTTTGTTCCAGTCAGTGCGCCACCGTTGAAAGCCTGGACTGTCCATGAGAAAAATTCATCACCAGGAAGTCCGGTAAGTGAAAATCATTTTTCATACCGCTTTGAACAAAAATTTTTTTATTTTTTTTTCAAAAAATTTTTTTTTAAAAAGACAAAGGAAAAAAAGTTTTTTTCATCTGTCAGCCGCTCATTTTTTTTCAGTTACTCTCAGTGGAGTCCCGAATCGTCTTGCCACCAGTGGAATGGGCACGTGAAAACGATTATGAATGGTGCGCGTACAGCTTTGAATTTGGCCGAGTTGGCATTTATGCTCGCAGCAGGCTGTTCAAAATGAATTCGAACACACTGGAAAGAGATGTAATTTATGATGCAACACTCCAAAGGTTAGATTTTTTGGCACTGTGGTGAATTTTAAACGCTCATTTTTCCTAAACCTGAAGTAAAAACTCAAGTAAAAAGCTATTTTTCCTCTCTCTCACGTAGAGTATTTAGTTTGCGGCAAGTTCTTTTCCGGATTTTTGCCAACATGCCATCAAAGTTCATGTAACGGCTGCTGATCCAAGTAAACACCCAGTGTTGCTCATGTAATGCTCGAGTAACGCACAATTTTCGATCGGCGATCAGTTTTATTTGACAATTCCGATTTTCACCAGTTTGTTCCGATGCCCGCACTTCTAATCCATGACGAATTACTTGTCGGCTAAGAGAATTATTCATCAGATATCCGTATTTGATCGAGCTGTTATCGTTTGGACTGTAGGGATCTAGTTCGCATATGTAGTAGAGGCACTAGAAACATACAGGTTAATGTAGAAGAATGTAGGGTAGCTACGCTTTGTGTGAGTGTTCCCGAATAAAATTGGTTCCTTATAATGGCAATCGCTGCGATATTGTTGCTGTGGATGATACCTTTTAGTAAGCGGAATGTTTAGCGAATCTTCGGATTTCTTTTAAAAGAACCATGCAAATTTACAAAAAATTTTTTTCAGGATTCCATTATCGAGTAGGCTGGGACGATATGCGGAAGAGTGCTGTGGAACAGTCTGGGTTGTACCTGCGCAGGTTCTCATGAAAAGCGCTAATCAGGACACTTTTGAAAAAAGAGTATGATTGATTTTAAATTACATAAAATTGGTACTTTTCCGAGGCCATTGATGGTGGCGATGAAATTTGAGAGAATTGCGAAGGGTCCTAGAATAGCATAGTATTAAGACTGTTTCTTTGTACCATAATTATAAGTCAAACTTCCCTCCATGTTTACTGTGTTTGAGAAGCGAGAGTGCAGGGAATTATTTGAAGTATATTAAATACCAAGAGCAGTCGCCCGCTCAAAATTTCAGCTTTCCGATTTCTCTGGTTCCGGAATTAGCAATTTTTCCGCCAAAAATTTTCGCGAGCTCGTACTTGAAAAGCAGTCAGAGTTGGGGACTGAATTTGAAATCTTTAAGTTCTGCGTAGACGGAGAACATCCCCTTAAAATTTCAACCTGATAGGGCTTGCCAATATATATTTCAGAATCTTTTAGACTTACAGAAACAGTTTAAATTTCTTCTAGCACTGCGTGATTTTTTTTTGCAGCCATGGCGATCTTCATCATCGGGATATCAGTCGCTGTCAGATTCATCGTGTAGTAATAACGTTAGTTTGATTTATTTCTCCGAACATTTTGTACAACAACCATCAGCTTGTTTGTAAGCAGACTTCAGAAGAGGGGGCTATCGACAGCTTTTCAAGCGGGTGACTGCTGTTGGAATGGGTTATTTCCAATTGTCTTGGCGCCTTACAAAAAAGAATGATAAGTAATGACCATTGGAAGGCCGATTCAAAAGTGGACGGTCCAAGTAGGGCAGCCGAAGAGGGTGAAATTGATAAAATTTTTTTGCGGCCATTGTTAGGCTGAGCCATAATTTCAAAAGTAACGGCCAATTTATACCATGGAAAAAAAAAACGGAACGGCTGAAATCCTTAAATTTTAATGTAGGTGGAATAGGAAATGGTTTATGATGGAAAAGA